CTCCTGCAGAAAGGGTCGGGTATGCGTAGGATCTCAGTGACCCCAGTATCCCTTTTCGAAGCCTTTTGAAAGTGTCTGTGTCAAGGATCACTACTTTGTACTGTAGTCTACGGTTTCTTCCATGTTGAGGAACTTTGGAGTCTTTCGGGTCTGATATAAGGTTTAAGGGTTAGTGTTCAGGGAGCCACTGGTGAACCTGCAAGTAGAGGAATTGCACCTTCATTTTCGAATTGCTCACTACTGTTCGTGAGAATGTTGAAATTGCAACAGGCTATAGAAATGTCTTTTGTGCAGGGCACGCTTTTATTTCTGTCCCATGGTTCCGTGGAAGCCCGCAGCACACCAACGTCGCCGGAGATTTGGCTTCTCAAAGCCCATATGCTCCCCAGGAGTTTTTTTTTTCCCAAACGGTGCATATTTCCTCACTATGCGAGCGCTACTCGTGTGGCATTACGATAGCAAGGCTCCGAACCTTCCCAGCTAGGATCCATAGACGAGTTTTTTATATCCATACAGTCACATGTCTATCTATCTATATATATATATACACACATATATATACATATATACATATATATATATATACATATATACATATATATATATATATATATATATATATATTTGTAAGTATTATAAGCGAAGGCATGTGTTATGTAAATGATATATAAAAGATATAGACAGAGAGAGAGAGAGAGAGAGAGAGAGAGAGAGAGAGAGAGAGAGACAGCCCGAGCATAGACCCCCATCCCCGAACAATAACAACAACCACCCAATCGCATGCCTCCCCGCGTGTGCAGGTTGACGCTTGGTTGGCTTGCTTGGCACAGAGGGGCTGCTTGTGCGGAGCTTGGATGTAGCGGTTTAGGGTTTAGTTGTTTTTTTTGGTTTAGGGCCTCGTGTGGAATTCAGGGTATAAGTCAACCTTATAAAGCCTTCAGGACGCAGGGCTTAGGATCCCCAGGTATGCCTCAAATAGGCCCCACAATCCTCATTAGTACTTGGAGGTCGGGGGACTTGGTGAACAGTCTTTTTATAGAGTTATAAGTATCATAATCTAGTTACGAACCCATATAAGACACTTATAACTCTACTTATTACCACTTACTAAGTCCCCCGACCCTCTAAGTAGAAGCTTTGAGGCCGCAGGGCTTTAGTGTGTTTGGGGGCTTCTCGTGTGTGTTTTTGGGCTTAACAGCTTTTTTTGGTTGTAAGAGGTTTAGGGTTTTGGGTTTAGGGTTTTAGAGATTTAGTGTTTTGGAGTTTAGGGTTTTACTAAACCCTAAACCCTAAACCCTAAACCCTAAACCCTAAACCCTAAACCCTAAACCCTAAACCCTAAACCCTAAACCCTAAACCCTAAAAGTGTTTTAGGGTTTTTGGGGTTTAAATTGAGGGCCTCCGGTCTTGGTGGTGTCGTGTGTACTACAAATTGAGGAAAGCTTCGTCGTAGGGTTGATGATATAAATCCTGGGGGGTTCCTTTAAAGGGATCTATAGGGGGTACCCTTAAGGGGCTCCTTTAAGGGATCTCTAGGGGGGGTTTAGGGTTTAGGGTTGATGATATAAATCGTGCATGACCCATAATAAGGAATATACCAAAATTCCCATAGTTTAGGGTAGCATCACGCGCATATCCAGTATAGGGAGGCTAGGAAAGTGCGTGTTTCACAGCTTGGGATTGCAGGAGCTGTGATTGGTTCTCTGATGGTCATGCCATACATTGTGAATGCTTGAGGCGGGCTTGCAACATGAGGAGAAATCGCGGTAGAAGCCCAAAGCCTGAAACCCCGAACTTGGACTTGATTGCAAGCTTTTGTGCTCGGGGTTACGTCATGGGATGTCATGGGTCGTGGGTCCGTGGTACGTCCCACGGGCCTTGGCCTTCTGGCAGCGGCAGCTCGCATTGTACCTGATCGAGAACATTCACTTGACGAGCCCGGTCTTTGTTCACTCGCCTTCAAGGGCCGAGGTCTGGAGCTGGAATGGTGTCAGACTGACATTTTCTGAAGCCACTCCGGAATGGGAGACATTGACGCAGGTGGTCGAGCCGAGGCGAGGGTGGCGAAAAGGACCAAACCTTTCCTGCAGTGGACCCGGTAGTGGATGAGCCGGATGCCGGCGATGACCGCACAGATGCTACCGCTGCTGCTGATCGTCCTGCCCGACCTGACTCCAGCGAAGAAACCTCAACAACTCGAAGTAAGCAGGCACGATTTGAGGAATGCTGCCTGATCTGAAGCTCTTGGATGCACGGGACACTAAACCTAAAACCTTGAGGAATCAAGCCCTACCTAAACACCAAGCCCCAAACCCCATAAGCTCTGATAGTACTAGTACCGTTATAGGTCCCTTAAAGGAAACCGGAAAGGACCCTACTTGGAGGGTCAGAGGGCTTACTAAGTAGGTAATAATCAGAGTCATAGTGCCGCTAATGCCCTAAGCGGGATCCGAATTGAAGCTCTTGTTGTACTTAGAACTGGCTAAAGTAACTGCTTCCTGAGTCCCCCGATCCTCCAAGTAAACCCTTACCTTGACGCTGAAGAACCAACCCTTTTTAAGGACTTATATACGGAAATCATAATACGGAACCCTAGAAAGGCACGTTCTTCAGGGTTAAGGTAAACCTTCAAGCCCTTAAACCCTAAACCCCCAACCCTAAACTCTAAACCCTAAACCCTAAACCCCGAACTCGAGATGCGACAGCACGGCCCCTGCAGGTCTTGCGGCGGTCAAGGGTGCGGCCTCTGCAGGCCCCCGTGTTTTGGGGCTTAGGGTTTGAGTGTTAGGGCTTATCAAAGGGGAAAAGGAGGGACCCTTCATGGGGACCCCTACCCTATAATGGGCTATATACTGGGTATATAATAGCTATATTAAGGGTCCCTCCTTTTACCCTTGGAGTTTAGGGCTTTGGGTTTGAGGTTTTTGTTTGAGGGTGTATGGCTGAGGATTTCAGGGTGATGGTTTAGGGCTTAGGGTTTGAGCTTTAGGGTAAAGGGTTTAGGGCTAAAGGCTCAAGGCTTTGGGGGGTATTCAGGGTCTTTTTGGGTCGTAGCTTGCCCTGGAGCACCGCCAATCCTGAACCGAAACTTCCTAGAGAGCCGCAAGCAAGTCTCCCAAAGCCTCAAGGCGAAACCCCAAACACCAAATCCTAAACCCTGAAATCCCGAGGCTTACTGAATACTTGCACAGTCGCCAGGGGGGGCCACATACATTCCAGGACGATCTGAGGAAGTAAACCCCAGGTTTAGGGTTCAGCGCTTGGGGTTGACGGTGTAGAGCCCTGATCGTTTCTTTGGCTTCCCTAAACCCTAAACCTTAAACCCTAAACCCCAAACCCTAAACCCTAAACCCCAAACCCAACCCTAAACCCTAAACCCCAAACCCCGAACCCTAAACCGAGAGAGTTCAGGCTCCGGGCTTTTTGAGGTCGTCTTGGCATGGAAGCCTAGAGCCCCGAAGCCTGTACTACAACTACGACTTAGACTCGGACGATGACTACAAGGGTCCTGGGGTCCGAGGGTGGCTAAGGGTTTCAACTAGTTTTGGGTGTCGGATCTTCGGAAAGGGGTGCAGCTCAACTTTAAAAGCTGAAGCCCTAAGCCTCAAACCCGGCACACAAAACCCTAAACCTCCAACCCTAAGCACAAAACCCTAAGGCCAGCACCCTCAACCTAGCACTCTAAGCTCAACAGCCTTAACCCTGTAAACCCACTTCAGCCCAAAACCGTAAACCTAGGAGAACCTAGGGCTACAAAAAATGGAATAAGGGCACTACTGGGCATCCTGGTAAACGGTCTAGGGTGTTGGGTGTCTAGGGTTGAGGGCCGAAGGTTATACAGTTCAGGCTTGAGGGTTTAGGCAGCTACACCCCCTTGTGATCAGGATCCTATTGTTCAGGGTCTCGGTTGGGCTTATGAAGCCAATGTCCACGAAGCTGCTTCAGAGCAGAGCATAGCCTTCAGGATTGAAGACTCCGCGAATTCCAGAATTTTGGTCTTTACTTTCCAAGGACTAGAAAGGTACCCTAAACCCTACACCCCCCGCAACAAAGAAATATGTTAAAATGCACTCCGGGACCAGATTTGCAGCCTTCAAACGGCTTTACACCTAGGGCGTTTTTGGAAGTTTTAGGGTTTAGGGTGTTGGGTTCCACAAGGGGGCCCACCAGAAAGGGATCCGGCCAAAATTAAAGCCTGTGAGTACTTCTCTAATTCAGGGTACCTGTTTTGTTTAAGGGTTCCTTCATGGGATCCACACGGGGTTCTACAAGGGCACTATAGGGGTAGTTCGGGAAAAGGATCCAAAAGGGAACCCAATTCAGAGAAGTACCACTGCACTGTCTGCCCCAAGTACCCCTGCGCACTCGGCCCCTAGACCCCTGCGCACTCTGCCCCGAGCCCTGAACCGCAAGGTTTGGGGTTTGAGGGTCTTAGGGCTTTGCTTGGTTGGGGCTCAAGTCCTCGTCTTCGACCCACAACTTCTCTTAAACCTTGGCATGAGACTCTAGGTAAGCCCAACTGTTTAGGGCTTAGGAATTCAGATTTAGGGGTCCGGGTTAGAGGTTTACTTGGAGGGGCAGGGGACTTAGTAAGTAGGTTGTAGAGTTATACGTACCCGAAGCGGAGTTACCCCAATTAGAACCCTACTGACAACCTACTTACTACGTAAGTCCCGTGCCCCTCCAAGTAGACGCTTAGATTTGTCCTGGGCCTTCAGGCTGGACGACTCTGTATCGCAAGGCCGGTCTTGCAGGGGAGTTGGACACTTGCCGTTCTAAGGGTGTAGGGTTTAGGGTTCTAAGGAGGCTCTTTGTCCACAGACTCTTATCTATTCACCACTACTACTATGGGGGACCTTAAACGACGATCATAGGGACCCATTCCCCCATTCCCGACTCAGAACCAGACAGTAAGCCGAAAACCCTAAACCCTAAACCGTGGCGATGCAGCAGCCATCCGGCTCGCGTCTCGCAAATAGGCTAGAAGCCACGCAGTCGCCATGGGCTGTGGTGCAAGTGCTGGTGCAGTGTCCAACTTTCGGAAGGTGGGTGCCTCTCAAAGTCAGAAGCTTTCGCCGCTGAGGATCCGGTAACTATACTCATAATGACTTCTAACCCCAATTAATGTACTTGTAGCCTTACTTCCTAAGTCCTATGATACTCCAAGTAGGGCTTGTTTGTAGGGTTTCGCAGTCCCTGGTTCCGTCGCACGCCGAGGTGGTGCCGACGCCCGGGGGCAACCCGGCCTGCTTGGTGATCAGCCAGGACCCACGCGCCAGCACAGCTTGTGCCTCTGAGAGACAGCTTCGAAACCCCTGGACCCTAAACCCGAACCCCCTAAACCCTCAACCCGAACCCCTTCAACCCCTAAGCGGTAAACCCTAAACCGTATGCATGCAGACGCGCCCTGAAAAGAGTAGCCGAGGGGGCGGCAGTAGACAGCCATGATGGTCGACATCCTCACCATCGTTACGATTGTAAGTTTTATCATTATGCCTTATTGTTAGTATCAACATTATCAAGTTGTATTACTATTCGTGCTATGATCATTACTATTCAATTATGGTCATTTCTTTTTCTATCATTATGGTTAGTATCTTTATTGCTATTATGGGTACCATATCCATGAGCATTACCATTACCGTTATCACCCTCATGATCAAGACCCTGACTACAGGCATGGTCATGACCAGGGTCGTGGTCATGATCGCCCTCATCGCTTCTAAGGGTTCCTTTTTCAGGGTTCCTTTTAAGGGTTCCTTTCAGGGGTTCCTTTTAAAGGGTTCCTTTTAAAGGGCTCCTTTCAGGGGTTCCTTTTAAGGGGTTCCTTTTAAAGGGTTCCTTTTAAAGGGTTCCTTTTAAGGAGTTCCTTTACAGGTTCCCTTAAGACCGTTATCCTGAGCATGAAGCATGGCCACGGCCGTGTTCATTTATGTAATCTTTAAAGTTTTCATGCTCATCACTACGAACGTGATCATGTTCATGCTTAATACCATGAGCATGATCGTGATCGTGTACACCATCAAGAGCATGATCAGCACCATGACGACCAGTAGAATGATCAGTCTCTGTGTCTTTCCCAAAAATCATGTTTTGTATCAGTATCCGTGTCAGTATTACTGTCAGTATCAGTGCCATCATCATAGTACCAGTGTCAGTATCAGCGCCATCGTCAGCGTCATTGTCACTTAGCACTAGCATCAGCAGCAGCATCATCCTCGTCATTATTATCGCATCGTTACAATTATCCTTGCTATGTTGAGGGTCGTCGTTTGTATCAGCACCCTGTTAGCATTATCATTGTCAAGATCACTGCCATGACCATGATAACGTTCATGTTCGTTTTAATTTTCAGTTTCCTCGTCTCCATGACCATCCCTCTCGTTATCAACACCGGCATCGTGATCATTATTGGGATCATGGTGGCCGTGTCCTTCGTAATCTGAGCACGTGCGCGCAAGCACAGAATAGTGTAGATAATCATCGCTTTCGGGACGATGCTGATAGCAACGGAAGTGACCCTAAACACCGACATCCGCATGAATTTCTAATATACCCTCTTAGGCCCTTGTCAGGCCCTGTAAAATCCCTGTACACGCCTGTCAAGCCCCTCTAACACCCTGAGAAGCAAGATTTCATTAAGTCAAGTTCGGCAGAGGACTCGACGGTGTCCGAGGACCTCTCGATCGCCGGAGGGTACCTGGGTCCTTTATTTGGGTTGACTTTTAATTTCCCTTCTTGTTTAATGTAGGGCCCTAATTATATATATATATATATATATAATGTTGGAAACTGTTGAAATCGACACCAAGTCTATGGGTACTACAAGCTCGAGGGTTTCGGAAGGATCCCATCAGCCTCTTTTAGGCTTTCTATACGGACTGTTGGGCTGATTGTGTTGAGGGTTTCATCCGACTTTGAAGAGAAAAAGCCTTAGGACCTAAATCCTGAAAACTACGACTTAAACCTCGTAGAGCCTCGTCAGTATAGTACGTACCCTACAATGGTCGGCCTGGTGAGAAACCCTTTCAAAAATCTGCATAAAATCAGCCGCTTTATGCCACCTTGTCATATGTCCAGTTTGGCAGGTTTCGGTGCACATGTACTAAGTTCCCCCTTATCACCCTTTTTCTTCTTGGAATCACTGATTGAAACTAAAACTTAAGAACAAAGGGTACCCCTTATCATCGATAGGGGACCTAGTGTAGTATTCTAGACTCCGATCTGCATACCATTTTGGTTTCAGTAGGACCCAAACTGGCAGGCAGCTGAAACTGTTTGGAGGGTTGCGAGACTTAGTAGGTAATCAGCAGAGCCTTATAAGATGACCATTCACCAAGTCCCCTGACCCTCCAGGTGCCCGTCGTGGAGTTTCCCAGTCCTCATGAGGTCGTGCAAGGGATTGCAACTCACCGCGGGTTCTGGGGATCGGTGCATGCACTACAAACCTACACCCTAAACCCTAAACCGTACACCCTAAACCCTAAACCGTTTCGAGTT